CTAGTTTTTTTTTAAGAAGTAAAAATAAATATAAGAAGATATTTCAGATGCTAACAATAAGAGTTAGATGTAGATGTTTGCCAAAATATTTTATGCTTGGGCAGCATCTGCAGATTTTTATAACCTTCTGACTGTACAATGTTCCAACAAAACAATGGCTGAAGTGTATTAATTTGTTTATTTTTTATCCTGGTCATGCCTGACATTATTAGTTTGTTCAGCACATTTCAACTTGGATTGTTTTTTGAGCCTGTCACAATGTCACGCAGTTTTTGCAACAAGGTTGTGCCATTAAAAAGCTGTACCAACGACAACTGTTACAAAACCGCAAACCATGCTACGCTACTCATTTTACATTTGAATAGAGTCTATCTACAAGTAGAAAAGGGGGCTTGTTTAATTTTTTATATATATTTTATATTGAATATATTTATTTAGCAAGGAAACCTCAAACTAATTGACAGTGAGTAACAATATCGACATTGACAATGTTAGAAAAGATTTGTTTCAAATAAATGTTGTTTTTAAGCTTTCTGTCCATCAAAAAAAATACAAAAAAAAAGTATCACAGTTTCCACAAAAATATTAAGCAACAACTGTTTTCAACACTGATAATAATATGAAATGTTTCTTGAGCAGCAAACCAGCATATTAGAAGGATATCTGAAGAATCATGTGACACTGAAGACTGAAGTAATGGCTGCTAAAAAAGAGCCAGAATAGAGTGCTGTGCCACCAGCTATCATAAGAGATGTGGACACTGTGACTGAGAATGTCACTCCCACAGGGGCACATAAATCACAGTTGATGAAGCTTCAGACACATCGAGACCTGTGGCACACAATCCATAATTGACATTTGACTCAAAATGTTTCAGCTGAGAACTGAAGCTATCAGTCTTTCTCACTCAAGATTAATGTTGCCACAAAACAACACTGATTGAAAAAAAAAAACATCTTTGAATAGCTAAGATTCAATGAAGATTTAAGAAGCCATCACAGCTATGAGGTGTGTGGCCATCCAGACCTCTGAATCATACAGGATGAGACATCATGGGTGAAGAGTGAAAGGTGCCTTAAAAGGCTAATTCTCGAAAGAAATGGCCATGTTAATGTCATGACAGTGTAAAAAAAATTATGGCTAACGCATCTCAATCAGATGTGACTAAGCAGCATCTGCCAAAAAATTTCACTCAAGCTTGTCTGCCTGGAATTACCTTTCAGATGTTCATTTTTTGGTGACATTTATGCTTTGAACAGCTGATCTCATTGAGGACCAGGTGTACAATCCCATCACAACATAACGACTCCGTTTGAGTTTGGAGGGAGACTAAATGACTAGCTGATTTTTAAGGTAATCAGAATAATAATTATAATTATTAGCAATGCTAATCAGCACCCACAAACCTTCCACTGATACGTTTTATGCTACTCAAGTTTCTTGCATTCCTGAATGTGTGTTACCATTTCACCCTCTCTGAAACTGCGTCACAAAGTCTTTAATTGCTAATATTGATTATTGTCAAACATGAAATGAGAGAGAAAAATCTGAGAAAGGTCTATGATGTTGCGATGCCCGGAGGAACCTTTTATTGCTCTTTCATATCTCTGGAGACTTCATGAAGATCCGAAGTTGTTTTTCATTCATTTACATATGATTTGATGAGAAATGCTTGGGCTCATAATGAAATCTTTGAGTTTTGATTGCAGATTTTAGTTTCTTGGCAATTAACAGTCAATTAACATTTATTCTTATTGCTGTCTAGGGGAAACAGCAGAGCTCTCATGTGTGTTGTTTATTATGGGTAGTGATATAGTGATTGTTTCTTTAAATGAGGGGAATATTAAACATCATTCACTATAGGTTAATGGCAGATTCTTCAATGAATTACCAAACAAACTTAAATTAAAATCTGTGGCATAATTAACCTGTCTTAGATTGCTAGTGAACAAAACATAACTGCAGTGCAGTTATGGTGCAAGTTTAAGCAAAACAGTGACTTATAGTTGCCTTAATCTTATGTTGTCCAGGTCAGTGTTTGTTTATTTATTTATTCATTTATTTATTTTAAATTTGTGGGAGTACACTGATGGCTGAGGAGGGATTGTTATTCATGTAACATTTTTTCCCAGTACACTGTGTAATGAGATCCCAGATTGTTACATGTAAAATATGAAATGTGAATGTAAAAATGAATATGATATAGGGGGCAACTCAAGGGTGGACTAAAATTATAATTATGTATTAAACAGGCACTCTGCCATAACACCCATTAATGTATATGATGTTTCAGCTACAAACAATGTGCCAAGGACGAAGGACATTTTATGTCCTTTTATGGATTAAACTTAAACCTATTGCAATGAGTCACCCTTAGAGACATTTTTCCAGATCAGTGATTAATGCTCTCCACAACCGGTTAAACAAGGCCTTTACAGAGGTGATAAATGTCAAAATGATATTTCTTCCAAAGGATATGGGACTTTGACACTGCATTCTGTGAAATAATGAGCATTGTACATTTAAAATTTAAATGCTTTGATCTTAATAAGCAGCAAGAGACCTTCTTCATCAAAACATGAGAAAAACACAAAACTGTTTTTCACTGATTGGACTGAAATGCCATCTCTCGACAAGCCTTGTTTAAGATCCTTCACCATTGTCTGAATTCTTTTTGTTTCCTTAAGTAGACCAGGTTCTGGTGCATAAAAGATGACGAATGAAGCCATGAAAAATGGTTCTTCTATGGCATCACAGCAAAACCCCCTTCGTTTCATACATTACATTCTATCATTATAGGTTCACAAGGTATTTATATGTAAATTACTCTTAGGTCCTTTCTATTCATCGTACACCTGCTGGTCTTTCGGTAATAGAGCTGTTGAAATAATGAGGTGGTTAAAGCCAAAGGGCCTGATCACTTAGCTGAAGTATGTACTCAGAGCCCTAATAACCAGTCCACAATACTATAGGATAAATTTTGCAAGCTGTCTTTTCTTAAATCAGTGCAATCAAAAATTGCAGAGCAATAACATAGACACACTGATAAGGGAAAACAATATAAAATAACGAGAGAAAAAAATCACTAAAAATGTGGAGTAAATTAAATAAACCTGAAATAACTTTAGCTTAAAGGAATAGTTCATCCAAAAATGAAAATTTGCTGAAAATGTACTTCCCCTCAGGCCTTTCAAGATGTAGCTGATCTTGTTTCTTCCTCTGCATTACATCACTTGCTCACCATTGGATCCTCTCTCGTCACTCATTGTTTACACAGTGCACAGTCATTGTAGGTACGACGGCTAATCAAAATGGTACTTACTTGCGCTTATCCGGATTGTTCAAACCGACTTAAAACTAAAAGATTACGTTTTCTCGCGCGAACTCATTCGGGAGTGGTGACTTTCCACGTATTCCCAACTTCTGAGCCTGCTCGCCTGAAGTTATGCTTGATTGCTCTTCGGCTGGATATCAACACACCCATTAACGTAAACTACGCCAGAGCGCGTACACACCTCACGCACCGGATGCCGTGCGCGCGCCCAAAGATAGTTGGACATAGTGGTGTATTAGAGGTAAAAAATGATATAAATACTGTTCGGTTTCTCGCACAAACCGATCGTTTCTTGTCTTAGGACATCAATGTGTCGTCACGAGCCGTAGGGTTTAATTTGGATTTGTCTGTGCATGTTTTTTTTTACTCTCATAGATTTTGTTACCATTGCCATGCATTATACGACTGATAGACTGCAACGGCTGGAGTTAAAAATCACCATTTGTGTTCTACTGAAGAAACAAAGTCACCTACATCTTGGATGCCCTGGGGGTAAGCAGATAAACATAAAATTTTCATTTTTGGGTGAACTATCCCTTTAAGGCTTATTCTATGACCAGAGTGCTGTGGTCTCAGTGCCTCCTAGTGGATATCAAAGTGTTGCAATTATGGTTTGTAGCAACATCACTCTATCTGGTCTATGAGAAATGCATTAAAAACATTCATCTTGAATATTCATGTCTATAAATTGTCTTTGTTCTTAGCTTTTTGTGTGTGTACAGACATAATTATAATGAAGAATTATACAGTCGTCTATAATTTTCTGATTTGTATGTATCTTGGCAACTCATCTCTGTAACTGAATTTTGAATCGGCCAAGAAATTTGCCAAGTGTCAGGAGAAAAAAAACAATACAAAACAAATATAATGCATAAACATATGTTTCTTTTTATTTGTTGCTTACTTTTTTAAACCTTTGTAATATTCAAAAATACATTTCACCAGGCAAAATGTATGTATTTATTTCAGTGCTGGTTGTGATTATTTTCTTCCTTGCATTTTTGTTGTTCAGTAATAGCTTTGCTTGATAATCAGGCCTCAAAATACAAAATACAGTAGTCATTTAAACATCAACATTAAAAGAATTAAACTGTAAGACAAAATTTTGATGAAATTCTACAGTATTGCAGCGAGTCCTTTTCTATATTGTAGGTCTATAGGCTACTTTTCTTTTTATTAATACTACTAGCAGCTTATTTGTGCATTTGTATTGGTGCTTTAGCAATTCTATTGTATGCAAATTGGGTTTATGCAAAACATTTGTCAATAAAGTAACTGAAATAGTAAAAAAACAAACAAAATGTTCTGCCTCTAAAAAAATGGAAAATAATATTGATGGATTCTTTGCTAATCTGTGACATTACTGTTTTTAAATATTATTTTAAATAGTAACTATTTACACCAAATGTTTAAAGTAAACCATCACTGTCTGTCACAATTTGAGAATTTCTACTTTTGGAACAAAAACCGAAATTTTTGACAGTGTTTTAGTGACTCTTATAGCCTTTTCATGTAGGCTATGCGTTGTGTACGTATATTTATTAGTGCAGGCAGTTTTTGTGAGATAGCAGAATCTCAGCCTGTCATTGCACCTCTGCACCCTTTCCGCACTCCGCAGATCGCGCTCCGTGAGCTGACAGCTCCGCCGCACATGCGCAGGGCGTCTCCACTGGCTCGCTCGGTGCTGAAGTTGGGCGGATGGACGGAAAACACCGCTGATGGAGATAAAACGGCAGCATGCAATCTCAACGCGTGATACCCCCGATATCCGCATAAACACGTGTAACGACACGCTTATAGAAGACTGACATCTAGAACAAAAGGGGTAAGGCGACACACGCTCTTTAACGGTCTCGGAGGTCCCGCTAGCTCGCCAGCTAACGCGCTAGCCGTTGCTTCCTTGCGCTTAGAAAATCAAAGAGCCGCTGCGAAAATAGAATAAAGTGGCAGTTACATTTCGCCTGTCTAAAATAGCTCGGCTTTTGGGAGCAGTTTGCCCATTACTTTCAAATGCACCACGATGTCTTGTGATAAATACGGTTTGGGCTTTACCTGCGATGACTTTAGTAAAGATGCTGGCTGTGTCGCAAAACCCAGCGAGCTGCCTACCTAGGCAGCCTTTTTGGACTTAACTCGAGCGGTTGAGATATTCCAACAGCATTTATAACGCTCGCCGGCGGTAGGTGACTTCATAGGGGCGTTTAAACGATCGTTAACGTTCCAACGATGCCTAAACATGCTGTCTAGGTAGGATCCTCACTAGGCTTTGACACACAGCCGCCTTGATTCCACAGACAGCCACTGCAACGGGGAATGAAGGCGAATAACGGGATGCAGCCGTCTATATCTATATATCACGGAACATTGTGTTATATTGTTAATTATCAGAAGTTAAACTATTACTTTTCGTCCAAATTGACCTTTTATATTTACCTCTATGGCAGCCGACCATTTCCTTACGATTGACTTTGTTAAATATATATTTTTAAGTTTGTATTTTATTTCTCGGACTTGCCAGTAGTTATTTTTTCCTGCATTCAGTTATTGATGACAGCCTACGTGAAATTAAGAGAGTTTCCTTCCGGAGGAGGGCTGATTGCTCGACCCTTCATCATCATACAAGTTGTGGAGTTCCTCCCATTCACTTGTGCTTCTGGTTTTACATTGCAGCTGGTTATGTGAAATGTGGGGAACATTTAATTTCGTGTGTCAAATAAGATGACTTGTCAGTAATGAATCCATTCATTAAAACCAAGCAATAGTAAACTGCTCTTCACAAGTGAATTTTTTTTTACATTTTTGTTTTACTATTGAACACTTAAATACACTGAAAATAAAAGCCAGTAAATGTATATACTTCAGTATACTTTATATTACTGATATGCCTGGGTTCTTCACATTTTGCTGTGATATAATGTAATGTAGTATTGCTTTGCAGAATTATTGACTTCTTTTCACTTGTCGATAATGCCTGGTTAAAAGCATTCGTTTGAAAGTTTAAGGGTTATTGAGATTAGAATAGTATTACCAGTGTCAGATAGTAAAGGAAGACATGTAATATGCATTTTGGAAGTACTTATACAGTACTTTTTCAAATACACATTATTAAATTGGAGTTACTTTTTTGTTTTTATGAATTTTATGGGGACAATAGCACTGCATAATGCAATCATTCCAAAATGTAATGTCTTATAATAAATTCTCCACTAAAGACTCAAATTGTCTAGTTAACAGTTTCTAGTAAACTTATCTAGTTTAATATTATTGAAAGAAAGGCTAATTAGCACTATTTGATTAATAAGCTATTTGATTTTCATCAGTACATGCAATAATCCATTTAAAGTTGTGATGAAACGGACGTAGCTAAGAGAAGTCAGTCATTTTCATTGGAAGGTCCGGTCATGACATGATTTCATTATGCACGTTATTCAAGATGACGTAACATTACATATGCATGGATGAGTTGTTCACAATAAGATCTTTAACATGCATTTAGAAAATAGAATTTTTATTTCATGCTTACTTCTGGGTTTTTTGTGTTATTAATAAAAGTGTGCTTCCTTTTTGCTTCATTTTGTCAAATAGCACATTATTATTCATGTGTCAAACACTAATTAAATAAGAATTAGAATATAAGAAGTCCAGAAGTAATCAGATTAGACTGAGTGCAATCCAAAAGATTTACAAATTTGAGTATTATAATCTGTAATTAGTTTCAGAAGTGATCTACCGAGCACTAACTGAGAATTACCATTAATCTTTTGGTTTGGAGTCAACATAGTTTTTTCATGCTTATTAGTATTTACAGCCCTAGATTAAAGCAGTTCTGATGTTTGCCTTCTGGTTTGATTTATTTCCCAGATGTCTTATCCTGGATCATTTAGCCCTTGACTCAAGGAAAGGGTGTGCCTGCAAATACCAGGTGTTTGAAACCTACCTCCACCCACCTCCCGCATTCTCCATCAGGCATGATAAGAGAAGATACAAGAGGCCACATTTTGTTTTCCTGCACTCTGCCTGTCTCAACATTTGACATTACAGTCATGATTTTCTTACCTGGTCTTCGGATGGATCGCTGCTAATTTGCATGGTAAGTTAGGGGTGGTCCTCTCCTAGAGTGATTGCAAGTGCATTGATGATGTGGAAAATCACAAGACGTGTTTGCCGAGCGGTGATGTGATGCAGCGCAAGGTGAGAAATGTGGGCGAAACGGGCCCCTGTGTGATTATCGCATGTATCGGAACCGCGGTGTGACGTGTTTCTCGAGCTAGGCTTTGTGGGTAACGGCTCTAGGAGGCTTCTGTTGTGCAGCCAGCCATGGCCTATGCTATGCATCACTTGCTGTCCTGGAATGTGTATGGGGAAGTGCACAAGGGCACAAGACTTACAGCGGAAGAACGGGGTTAGAGGCAGGACGACTGCGGCATCTGAGCTTGCTCACACGCAGAGGCATTTTCACGCATCGTAATGTAATTCACGAGTGCAGACTGTAAGCGTGGAGGTGAGCACTCAAATGCTTGTTGTTAGAAATATGAACAATTAAAGAAACCTCTTCTGTTATTTTGAATTTTAAAAATGAGTTCAAACTTTCAAAAGCATTTGTAATCCGTTCAGCAGCCGTTACTGGAACAGAAAAAGATTATTTCTTTGAAGATGTGCAGTGTGTGCATGTTTAAAATGTAACTTTTAGGTAGATATCTCACTATCTGTAACAGAAACACACCAAAGGCTGAAGAATTATTATGTCCCAGACAGATTATCTTTGCCTGTTTTTCAGTTGTAGCCTTCCCTTGTTAATAGTGGAAAGCTCTTTTATTAACATAAATTATTACATGGGTCTCTGGAATACTTGATTCCGATTAGTCAATTGTGTGCGTTGTCCAGGACAGTACCATATCACTGACTAAGACTATAGCTGATAAAATTGAACTAAAGGGAGAGTTCCCCCAAAATAAAAATCCTGCCATTATTTACTTATGTTGTTTCAAACCTGTATGACTTACTTTCTTCTGTGGAACACAAAAGAGGATATTTTGAAGCATGTTGTTGATAACTAAACAGTTTTGGTGAACATTGACTTGTATTGTATGGACAAAACCACTGAAACATTTTTCATAATATCTAATTGTATGTTCCACAGAAGAAAGAAAATCACACAGACTTGAAACAACATGAGTAAACGAGTAAATTATCACAGAATTGTCATTTTTGGATAAACTATCCCTTTAAAACAACGGAGATGCACACATATAAACTGACAATAAACATGAAATTCACAAAAAATATCTTAAAACAGAACGTGTGAATTTGTGACAAGACTCATTAACTGACACAAGGTAGAGCTAAGGCACCTGTTAATCAGCCAAGGGTGCATAGTTATTGCCTGATTTGTTGGCTATTAATCTCAAAATAGCCAAATATCGTCTCATACATGAGCCTGTTGCTAGTTTTTAGTGCCCTGACTTTTTTTTTAGCTTAACGTTTTATAAAATGATACAAGATTTCCTGTGAAATCAGACTGGTTGTATAATTGTTTTTTCCTCAATACAACTTCTTGTTTTACATATTGTGTAAATGTGATTCGTGTGAGTTGTTGGTCAATGCTCTAGATGTGAACAAGGGACGCTTCAGTGTGTTTTGCATCAGGATGCATGATTTCCATTGCCTGGCACTGAATAACTGATGGTAGTTTTGTTTTGCATATTTGGTTTATATGGCTCTATTAGGGTAAACTCTGAAAGGGTGTTCACATTACATCCCAGAAAAACTGAGCTTTCATCACCAGGTAGCAGGGCTGTTTATCACAACACTTTTTTAAGGGCAAGGATGAATTTAGAGGTAAGGTTTCTGTTTCAAGGTCTTTGTTTAACTATAATTTACCTAAATATTCAGAGTATTCATATTTTGGCATATGTAATATCAGTAATGTTGAGTTAATATTGATATTATGTAGTGAAACTAAGAAAACAGTACACTACTGTTACCCTAGTGCAGGGATCCTCAAATCTGGCCCGCAAGATCCACTTTCCTGCAGAGTTTACTTCAAACCCTAATCAAACACACCTGAGCATGCTATTCAATGTCTTCAGGATCATTAGAAAGTCACAGGTAGATGAGCTTGATCAGGGTTGGAGCTAAACTCTGCAGCGCATTGGCCCTCCTGGGCAAAATTTGAGGAACCCTGCCCTAGTGCAAGCACTATATTAATACTAAATAAAAATCGTAACAAAATGATTACTTTTATATGCAGTGTGCTTTATATATTTATTTTAGAGTGCAAATGATGTGTAGCATATTTAATGCTGTGTTTTCGTACATAAAAATTGGCTGTTATGTGGTTTTGTCCTTTATCACAGCAATGCATTTCAATCAGCAGTGAATCTTTAAATTATGCACCACACGTTGCGACAAAAAGTCAGCCAACCAAATGCCCCGTGGTTATGGGATATTTACCAATACCATACTGGGAAATGATAATTTGATACCGTCCCAGAAGTCCAGCTTGTCCGTTTAGTGCCCATTAATACTAAATAAAAATTGTAACAAAATGATTACTTTTATATGCAGTGTGCTTTATATATTTATTTCAGAGTGCAAATGATGTGTAGCATATTTAATGCTGTGTTTTCGTACATAAAAATTGGCTGTTATGTGGTTTTGTCCTTTATCACAGCAATGCATTTCAATCAGCAGTGAATCTTTAAATTATGCACCACACGTTGCGACAAAAAGTCAGCCAACCAAATGCCCCGTGGTTATGGGATATTTACCAATACCATACTGGGAAATGATAATTTGATACCGTCCCAGAAGTCCAGCTTGTCCGTTTAGTGCCCAGACTGTTTGTCCCCAAATATTTGGATCAGATGTCTAGGTGATGTGATATGATGTTTGTGCTGCCAAACCCTGCCAAAAGATCAGTTTCCAGAAAGCTTTTGCTAAAATGAACACATTTGTTGAGGTCATGGTATGAGGCATCATGTTTACAAGGGTTTCCCAAAGTGTATTTCACATAATCTATTTGCAGTTCACGCAAACAACTTGTAGAGCTTAAAGCAATTAGTTGAATAGAGTAATGAGGCAAGTCCCATTCAAGTCCCATAAAGGCCACAAAACACTTGAAGTGGTGCAGGGGTTAAATGAATAGTTAACTAGGAAATGAATAATCTACCATCATTTACTCTCCTTTATAGCTTTTGAAACCATTGTGACTTTAACTTTCAGTCTGTTCTTCAGACAAAATTGTCAAATGGCTTCAGAAGACTTGGTATACAGTATACCGTGCAAGCAATGTTATTTTAGTATTATAAGCATGCTATTTTATTTGCAATTATAGTGTTTATTAATTCTTTAAATTATCTTTTATTTTATCATTTAATTTTTTGTTTTAATTTAAGTTTTAGTATTTTTAGTTTTTGTCATTATTATTAATTATTATTCAGTACCTTCAGTCTTTCTTCAGTCTGTTGAATACAAAAAAAGATATTTTGAAGAATGTTAGTTGCCAAACAGTTGCTGTACACTAGAGCTGTCAAATTTTTTTTCGAATTTCGAATATTCGTCGAATTAAAAAAAAAAAATCCACATTCGAATGCAAAAACGTTGCATTCGAATTTAAGGAATGCATCAGCCGTCAGGCAGCCTTATCAGTGGCGCACGAGATGCGATGACAATGTATGTGTCATTAATTGCATTTGAATGCGTTTGTTAGCCTATCCAGTTGAACCCACTAGATGTGGCGCTGCTACGTTGTTCATTCAGTATAAATTCATATTTATCACATTTTCTAGAGGGACATCTATCAGCGTTGCACTCGCAGAGAGCGGCATGTTTAGAAAACCATGTAAAATTAAAGCAAGTTCAACTTTTAAAAAACATGTCTAAAGACGTTTTTGCGGTTTTTCCCCATCCCACTGTATCTCATGTTTTTAAATGAAGAAAGTAGCCTACTCTTTGTGATTGGTTTTCGGTCCTTTGTATTAACATTTTATATAATATTATATTTAATCTAATATTTCTATTTTATTTCAGCAATAATTTAAATAAAAAAATAATTGTTAATGGTTTTACTATAATTTAAAAAAAAAAATTTTTTATCAGTTATATCATTGATCAAAATCACATATGACAAAAAATATCTTTTGAATTACTATCCTCATGTGTATGCAAGTAAGGTGCTTCCATAGTACCAATAATATATGGTCACTATTAATAAAACTGTCAAACAGAATAATCACCCATGTGTTTCAAAGACATGTTAATGGTATGGTGATGGATCACGGTTAGAGTGGAGCAGAGCTCACAATAACAACACTTGCTTATTTTCTCTCCTGATAGAGTGCATCTTGGAAACACATGCAATGCGGTTAAAATGTTTGTGGTAAAGATCTTTGCTCTGATGTTGTTTTTAACAAGCCAGTGATATTGGGAACCAAACGTGGAAGAATTTATTGAAAACCATTTTATTTCACGTCTGCTCTCTGTTTGCCTGTGTACAGGTAAAAATGTTGATTTGCACAGAGATTTATCCGTATATGGTGCCAAGCCTCCAATTTAAAGACATTATAAAATCTAAAATGAGAATTTGGTGGTTTTTAGTATATGTACATGTACTAGGAAGCTCCTAAATGTTGACAAAAATCACTTTTAGCACATATAAAATGTATTTTTCTTTTTACAGTAAAACAAACTTAAATATTGATGACTCATTTAGTCTCATTTTCCTTGACAATGTACTTTATTTATCTAATTAGTTTTTTTTTTTTAGAATTTTTAGGAAGGATTCGTATGGTTTTATTTAACTTATTTTAAGAAACAGGAAGCGACAGCCATTGCATTTTTACAGACCATGTACTTCCTAAAAGGAAAACCATTGCATTTGCTCATGTGTTAGAACATGTGAGATCCCACACTACTACTGCCTGTGTGTGTTCACGGGTGGGGGAGTGAATGCTTCAGCCCCACCAGCATCTCTCTCTCTCACCCTCCTACAGCTCACTCATTTAGCATCTTGCTAGAGGAATGAATGTCTAGTCTGAAGAGGGGATTTCTTTACTTTCTGCCTCTCTCTCTCTTGTTTCAGTCTCTACAGACACCCTCTCACGTGCATTCTAGTAGATTTCAGCTGAATATGCATCTGACAGTAGAGTAGGAAACAGTCCAACAAGCTCAGATACTGAGCATCCTTATGATCATTTCCATTGGAAAAGCTACCATAACTCTACCATAATAAATCCCTCCCCTGGAAGCTAAAAATAATTAATAATCTCTTTTGGTCTTACTTTAGATTTAGAAACATCTGTAGTTAACAAGACACTCCAGCTAACACAGTTCCCAAGCCCCCACTGCTTTGTTTCTAATCAGATGTGTCTGTCCACAGCCGCAGAGTGTGAGTGGAGTTGAAATGAGGAAAAGGCAGCAGGGACGCATTGAAGGACCCCCACAGGCGCCTGGTCACCCGAGGCCCAACACCTGCTGTCTGTGCTGGTGTGGATGCTGCAAATGCCTCTGGTACACCCCATCTTTCATTATGTTCTGCTGTAAACATGTACTTGCATGGTAGCTATTTGCTTAACTATGAGTTTTACATTAAGCAGCACACAGTCCTTTTAAGTATTTTATCACCATTACCTGCCTCAGGTACATTACCGCTCAAAAGTTTGGGGTTGGTAAGATTTTTTAAAAGACATTTTTGATTACATTTGATCAAAAATACAATAACAACAGTAATATTGTGAAATATTTTTACAAATTAAAATAATAGTTTTCTAAATAAATGTTATTTCTGTGATTGCAAAGCTGAATTTTTATTTTATTTTATATGTTAAGCAAAACATATTTTTGAAAGTCTGGTATACCCTTTTATATACTTGTATATAAATATTATATGTTTATATACTCTGTACATTTTTTTTAACATTACAGATTTCAAAAGGTATGTGGTAAATGACCCAGTGGCATTCATTTATTTGTTTCATGTAGGCATTGTTATATGTTAGCATAGCCTTTTAAAATCCTCTCACAGGAATATTAAGACAAGTATGTAGAACAGGGTTTGTCTCAGTATGCAAGCTAACATCGCCCATTTATTTGATGATTACTGAGTGCGCTTTTAAGCATGCACATAATTTTACGTGTAAAAAAACAATAGATGTGTATAAGTAGATGCCCTATTAGTGGCTGTTTCTGTGGGCCACTGTAAGCCTTTCGCCATATTGGAATGGTCAAAGCAGGTCTGTGAACACTCGAGAGCAAGAGCCTGTATGTCTGCAACCCTAGTGATACGCAAGTATGAATATATCTGCAGTAGACCTCAGCAGATGATTTTTCTAAACTAACACAATACAACAAGACAAAGCCGTTTGCTAACATAACATTTAAAAGGTACTGTAGTTTAAAAACCTGTAATATCGAGTTAATACATACTAAAAATACAAACCCACACATTTTTACCTGTGAAAGTTTATCCAATTTCTTCAGGAATTTATATTTCAGCGTTTTGTACAACCAGAGGCTGCGCAAGGTTGTGGCATCCTAAAACTCCTTGATTTTTATTGTGAGCAAAGTCCCTTTCTTTGTTGTGGTTCTTTGTCCCTTTCTTTGTAAAATAATTTATTTATTTTTTAATTGTATCTACAAACACATTACATGTCTGTTTTTTTTTTTTATTAGAAACAAATTCAATCTGTTGTTATTCTTTTAAAAAAATTGTAAGAATAAGTGTTCTTTAAAGGGTTAAATTGGCTTGTAAAAAGATGGGGAAAAAGCAGTTGGAGTTTGAGGCTGGGCCATTGAACAACGAAAGATTGGAAAGGCCATAGCACAGCTTGCAGGGGGACTATAAATAACATGAATGAATACAAATATTGCACGAAATAAAGAAAACATTGAGGAGGCAGTACAAACCCTGCTCTGTAACCTCGGGTTTCCACAGCCATCCCCCCACTACACACTGCCATTATCTGCTCAGTAAATGGCTATTTCTGTCCCACATCACATGCAAAACGGCTGTGTAGTAGTACATGTTATATATTTAGAGTCTTGTCAGCTTGTCGAACCCCATGGCTAACAAACCCAATTATACTTGCTCTACAGAGACTTGGATTGAGAAACACAGTGGATGTTCACCTGTCATTTGTAGCTTAGTTTCAATAAATGCTCTTTATGGACTAGAGGAGGAATTTTAGTACTTTAGTACTTCGATTATGGTTTATGGCCAGAAGGGAGTGAGAGAAACATTTGAGAGAGAAAAAATTACAAAGAAACGGCAAGTAACATTGAATTAAATGAGAAGTTTTGAAGTAGGAAAACTGAAATAGTATTTTTTTTTTTTTTTTTTTACAACTTTGAGTTTGGGCCATTAAAATGTTTGTTAACCACTGAAATAGGTTATAATATGTTTACATTTTATATCATCTTTTATTTCAAAACAAAAATGTGTTTTTTCATGATATGACCCTTTAAACACCTGAATGGTTATGTACTGGAATAGCACTTGTTAGTTTCCAGTCTCTAGTTTTACCGTAGCTGTTTAACCTTGCATGATGATCAACGCAACATGTTTCAAATGCCACAGAGACTTTGCTGTGTCTAACACTTCTCTTCTCACCCTAGGAATGAAGACAGAAGGGAACGTTCAGAGAGGCAAACATGTACAAAGATGGATAGCATAGAAGCGACAGAGGAACAGTGAGTTGTTAGAAACGTCTATTATTGTTAAAAGATGTTTGGTGCTTTTTTATATATATATAGTTCTTGTGTTCATTCTTCTCCAACATCCCGTTAAAATGAGCAACATTTCCTTAAAATGGAACTGCAATTTTGTTAACCATCTTAAAATGAAATGATCTAAAAATCTCACAAAGTTTGTTCCTAAGTCCTTTTCAATGCAGTTTAATTTCTAATCAAGTGCCTTTTATGCCATTTACTTGCACTTTATTTACTGACAGCTGAAGTAAAGTTGTTTTATATGGGTAGTTCCTGCTTTTTTTCATTGTCTCTCATTTGAAGGCATCCCACACTGGATGAGGTGATTGCCTGGTCACGGAGCTTTGAGATGATGATGCGCTCTCCAGAAGGGAGTGATGTTTTCCGGGAGTTCTTGCGGTCCGAGTACAGCGAAGAAAACCTGATGTTCTGGATCGCCTGTGAGGAACTGAAGAAAGAAAGCAACTCATCTGCTATCGATGAAAAAGCCAGGATCATTTATGAAGACTACGTCTCCATTCTTTCGCCAAAAGAGGTTAGAAAACGGTGTAAACAATATACGAATAAACAATGCTGTCTGTGGCTGCAATACATTCAGAAATAAATAAAATATGACAGCATAAAAATATAAGATATTCGTATTAAATTCATAATGCATCTAAAAATGGCCAAAACAAAAGATATTCTCAAGCGTTTTTGTGCAGGAGCATTCTCTGAATAGTTGGTGTTTTATTTTTTTGGCCACCTTACAATGCAAAAAATTTTTTTTTTCTTTTTTCTATTCTTGGGTGCATATGGGTGTGTTTTTTCCTGTTTACTTTAGTCAAATGAAGAGCATTTTGCTTCTGTTTTGCTGAGCTCATTAAACATTGTTTTTTTTTTTCTTTGGAGCAACATTGTGTTGAATTTCTTTTTTCTACAAAATTATTTTTGCTGTACAATATTTAATGCAAAGCTTCGAGATAATGATTTTTCATTCAGATTTGTTTATTTAAAGGCACAATATGTAAGATTTTTTTATTAAAATATCCAAAAACCACTAGAACAGTGTTATATATTTTGCTGACTTGTGTACTTACATTATCCCAAATGTTTTGAAGAATGTTTAAATCCAGAGAAATATGCAATTTTAACTAGTGACACGGACCGTGTCTATAGTGTCATTGTGTCGCCTGCCAATGACGTCATAGACAGGTGACGACCGCAGAGTAACATTATAAAAGAACTTTCAAACGGATCTAGTATGATAAAACTGCTTTTTTTTCCTACATACGCACGACCGGAAGGAGCGGAAGCGGTCGACTGTGGCATAATAAGAGCTCCGCTGCTTTCGAGCCGTGTGTCACGCTCGTGCAGCGGCCTCGTTTTGCTTCGACGGCTTTCAGCCTCACCCTGCTTCATTAATAAATCATTAGCTCATCCATGAACATGATTTCTGCCCAAGTCCC